TAATTTAATATCAAATTTAAGTAAATGACTTATATTTCGAAAATTTTCTTCAAACTATTAAAAAATAACCAGTTACCAACTAGTTTGCATTTCGACACAAATGTAACTGTTTCATATATCTTTGCTTAGTAACTGTTTCATATATGTATCTTTGCTTTCAAATAACAAAAACGCTTAATAATGYATACATATATTGATTAGCGCACATATTTCCTACAGGGTCACCAGCAACAATTTCCCCATACAAGCAGCAGAGTGGAAAATTGAAAGGAGCACACACACACACCAGCAGCATCATTTGTACCTGTTTTTTTCCTGAAATTTCTCAATTCATTCACACATATGTAGCTAACGGTATACTTTGTACARCCGAATATTTGCGCTCATTTGCGATTTTTCTCCGCAAGCACAATGCGATTGAGCAAATAACACAAATACTCGCACGGCTGCTACTCTTTTATGTACGTGTGTATGTTGTGTATTGTAAATGCTTATTGCTGTCGACAAATGTTGATGATGCGTTGCTAACATTATTGCTGACACACAGCTGTCTGCAGTAATACAAATGCAACAAGAACAACAACAACAGCAACTCGTTGTATATCCGCTTGTTGCGCTTTGCTTGACTGCACCGACGGCGGTCAGCGGCAGCCAACGTCGCAGTTGCAATCAAATGTGAACGGCGATGGCACAATTGCAATGTCAATGCGCACAGCTACAAACAATAATAACAACAACAAAAATGTGTACAGCGTGTGTGCAGCAGATAAGAAGGCAATGAATTGCTCACTGGCCATTGCGCTGGACTATGCTCGTGTACGTGATGTGTGTGTGTGAGAGAGTGATTTTTGCTTATTTACTGCTTTCTTGCATTATTTTTGCCTTTTTCTGGCTTAAATCACTTGCCTTACTTGTACTTGTTGTTGGCACAGTGCATAAAGCCTGTTGGCTTTACGCTTCACTGCTTCTGGTCAATTCCCGTTTGACAGTTTAGACTTGGCTTCAGCTTTAATGGCGTTGAAGCAACTGAGTGTTTACAGCGTCTTTGWAGATCGTAAATAATCAGTGGAGATTATCAACTGCAGATTATATTTTTTTGAGTTGTGTAGCAGAAAATTTAGCTTTAAAGTCTGGTATATAAGTAAATTTGGAATCTGACACTATATACAAATGTATATATGGATCTTTGAGTTTTTGGGGTCGACTGTAATTGCAAAATAAAATTACCGTACACATTCTTTTTATCTCAAAAAGGACCATTTTTTAGTTTTCCTTCCAGAATAATYATCAATCAATCAAAAATTTGCGAAACAGCTGTGAACTCTGGTATTTTATGAATTCTCAAAACTCCTAAACATGAATTACCGTACACTTATATATTGTAAATATYAATACCAGCCAACTTGCTATTTTCGTTCCGAGTTTTTGCAACCTCATTCCGCCAAATACTGGACAGTTCAGCAGAAAGTGTGTTTACAATTTCTCTTCACCTCCCATACAGCAATTTACACTCCACACGATATGTATTTGGTCTCATAGCTGGTGAGCCTATTGGACAACATCCAGTAAAAACACCTTCTGCAGCGGTGACATGAACCTTGCTAAGAACAATAAGTATAGAATATCTCGTTCATTAGACTCTGGACCAGATGATTTTCGCAACTGCATAAGCTTTAGTTGCTGCCAAGCTCACGAGAGTTTCATGGAGYCAAAGATAGGGCTCACGAGAGATTCATAGATCCAAAGATAAGGCGCAAGACTGAAACAGAGTATACACTCGTTCCAGAAAYGGGTGAAATAGAGTTCATAGTATGGTATCTAGCAAGCTCGTCGGTTTTGCWKTTTCCAGCGATTCCTTTGTGACATTGTGTTTTAAGTATGTGAATATTATTGAATTCCTCAAACTCTGTCTTGTCGACATAGAATTTGAATGGAATTTTAATAATGCCATCTCTTTAATTCTCAGTACAGTTTTATGTCCAACTTTTGCTGAAGTTAGATTGAAACATCTTGACAGTGACACTTTTGGTGAACCTGGCAAAGTTGCTAGGATTGGTATAAGCCATTCAAATCAATGAAATTTGGGAATCATAAATGTCATGAGAGCTTCTAGCTCTGCAAGCGGGATCCTAAATTAGCTTCGACCTAACCTAACCTTAACCACAGCTCCTACTTAATGCGGGTACGCCCTCATTTGTCTTAAAATAAGTAATTTAATCTTTGAAGACTAATCGCCAAGAAAGTAAAAATAAATTAAACAGATATAAATATGCTGCTCATGTGCAAGAACTGAAGCCGATCGACCCTCCCAAGCGACATTGTTTTATTCCATTGGCGTTTGAAAAGTTCCAAGAAGATCCGATGTTATCGAACCAAATATTGTTCAGCGATGAGGCCCATTTCTTCACCAATGGGTATGAACACAAAGAAAATTGCCACAGTTGGGACAAAGGGCGACCTGAAGAGATTCAGGCACTGCCATTTTATATAGAAATTACAACGATTTGGCGTGGCTTCTTGACCGGTGWAAACATCGGTCCATATTTCTTTRAAAATGATGCCGATCTTTATAGCGCTTGTAATTAATTTGGTTTYWACAATACGGCGCCACTTCACAACATCGCAACAATCATTGAATTTATTGAGAGAACACTTCAGTGAGCAGATAATTTCCCGTTATGGGCCGGCTACCAAGATGGTGTGAGATCACACCGTTAAACTTTTTCCTGCGAGGTTATGTAAAGTCTAACGTCTATGCGCACAATACCGCTTCGATTTAGGTGTCGGAGCAAAGCATCAGGCRTGTCATTCGCAAGTTAYCAGTTGAAATTATCGAACGAGTCATTGAAAATTGGAGTCAAATTATTCCAACCATTCTGACATTTCTTTATGGCAAGCAAGACAATTTTATTTACTTTCTCCGCAGAATTTAAAAATTAACACCGACGGGTTCTAATGTGTTGTAGACACATAATTTTTAAAACATTGCCACTGCTTAACTAATTGTTACAAATAGACGAAGAAGAAATTACCGGAATTAAAATAAATTGTATTTCTCCMAAAACGAATAATATAATTACATTTGCGCTAGAATTAAATATGCTTTCGCCAACTTCCTTGCTCTACATGCTCCATATTGCCTCCCCGATGGTTGCACTTGCGGGCTAATTAAGGCTAATGGAGGTGCATATGTGCGCCGGAGTATCACCTGCGGGACAGTGCTGTCATATTCCAAGCGCATGGACGCTGGCTGGGAGTGCGAGCATTTTTAAGTAGCTTAGTGCTAATGAGATAAAATGCATATGCAAGGTACAGGATAATTAAAAAAATTAGTCAAAAGCACTGGAATAAGCGTGTTAAGGCAACGAGTGAAAAACCTTCCAGCACATGAAAGGAGTTGAAGCTTTAGATGTTTGATATCAAAAGGAATAATGGAGGATTTTAAAGAAAATTTTGTAGTATACAGTTCGGTCCGTTAAATGGATTTGAGAAATGTAAAATTTAAATATGAATTAAATAAAATGACTGGTTCTAAAGCAACTAGTTCAAAGTAGGGTTCAAGAAACTAGTTTCAGGAAACTTTTGAAATTTAAACCTTAATTAAATAAATAAAAACTAGTCCTAAAGTAACCAGATTAAATTTCTTGTCTTGTAACTAGTTGAGGACTAGTTATGTACTGCTCAAATTATAAATAATTATTAATTAATTAAAAAAAAATTTTGAAGCCTTATATAACCATATCAAGCAGTATAATAAAGGATTTAAAAAAAATTTCTAATAAAAAATTGTTATTTAAAAAAAAACTGGTCCTAAAGTTACTAGTTTAGTGTTGGGTTCAAGTAAAAAAAAAAATTTATAAAAAATTGTTTTTTAAAAAACTGGTCCTCAAATTACTAGTTCAGTGTTGGGTTCAAATAATTAATTTCAGAAAACGTTTGAAATTTTAGTCTTAATAAAATAAATAAAAACTAATCCYACAGTAACTAGTTCGATATTGTTTTTTGTAACAGTGGATTACTGGTTATGAACTGCTAACATTATGAAATATAGTTCAATAATTATTTAATTTTTGAAACTATAAACTGTTCCGAAACTAACTATACAGATGTAGTTTTTAAGTAGTTAGTTTAAGAGACTTGGCCGAATTAAAAAAACTATAATTGCTTTAATAATATAAACTAGGTTTATATAAAAATATACTAGTTCAGGAAATTCAGTTTTGGCGTAATATAAAAACAATTTTATTAATTTAAATTTATTATTAATTACCTTTGTAACCAAAACTGCAGCAAACTAGTTTCAGCCCAGTAAAAAATGAACTAGTTCAAAATTATTTAGTTTTGAGATGGTAAAAAAAAAAACTTTAAAGACTATACTACCCCAAAAAAAATATTTSTTACCTTTGTTAGAAGAGCCGGAACTAATATGATACAAACTAGTTTCGGTTTACATAAAAATATACTAGTTTCAAAGTAAGTAGTTTCGGAGTAGTATAAAATTGTATAAAATAGTATAAAATTACCAACCTCTATAAACCAATAAATTGAAATTCTGAAAAATTCAGCGCCATTMATTTTTTTCCAACAGGGTATCTACTTGTATGTATATACTCGCATGCCATTTGTGTCTAACAAAATTAATTACTTGAAAATCTTTTAACTGCACTTTGGCCACAAAATATACAATGTGGCTGTTCGGGAAAAAAGCGCCAACTGCAGCCACAAAGGCCAACAAAGAGGTGAAAGAGAGTTCGTAAGAGCAAAAAGTACGGAGTCAGAGTAATGTCATTTATATACGAAGCAACCACACTCAAGCACATTCACCACACACATACAGTGTCTGATACGTGAAGATTTTATTACATTTTTTTTTTTTTTTTTTAAATATAAATTAAAAAACAAAAACATTTTGTGTGGTTTTTCGCCACTTTCGACCACAACTTAACACACACATATTTTACAACGCGCTGCCACCACATATTTTAAATATACGTATGTATGTATGTTTCTCTTGTATATTTCAGCTCTGCTATGGTGCCTCGAGTCCGGCACTCTCGGATCGCAGTCGCTTTCCAACACTATTTCGCACACATCCCTCCGCAACGGTACACAATCCGACACGTATAAAGTTAATGAAAAAATTCGGTTGGTCACGTGTGGCCATACTGCAGCAGGCCGAGGAGGTCTTCATATCGGTGAGTATAATGAAATGGCAGTCATTACGGTAGATAACCATCAGTAGCATTTATTTCAAGGCGAGATAGAAAGAGCGAATGAATAAGCGAAATWGCAAAAGCGTAATGTAATATATTTACACATATAATTTTACTTGTGTGTTTGAGTRTGCACATGCTGCTCAATGCAATGAGTACTTAAAATGCCAAAGGTGTATGCAGTGCCAGCCACAAAATGAATTAATAAATAAGTGAGCTTGGAAGTGTGGCAAAAAAAGCATTTGTTGCCAAGGCACTTCAACTCTAATTACATAAATGTACACACACATCCACACATGCATTTTAATTTACTTGTTTATGTGTGTGTTTGTGTCAGAGATTTGGTAAAAGCTTTTCCTGTCAACGAAATTCTTCTATGCGCCGCAATATATGCTATGTTTTCAATGCCAGCAAAATATTGTTTTAATTATTTCAAYTTAATACTTTCACGGCAATTCAACTGTGCACAAATATGCAATTTATTGCAACTCAAGTGGCATTAAATGTTCAAAGTAATTTTCTGTTTAATAATTTTGTGTACTTTAACAGTTTTCCACAAGAACAATAACAAAGTATCATCATTCTTTCTTCTCTCAAGTTATTGARAAGACAAATTGCTTAAATTTACAAATTAAGATGTGACATGTGGAAACTGAATTGAAAATGTTAAGTATTTGAGTTTTAAGGTCGGATTAGCACAATAAAAATATCGAAAAATAAA